CATGAAAATCCTAACCTCAAAAAAATCACCCGTTACATATGTATGCGTGTTTATAAGTTAACTCGTGCGCTTAAAGGGTGTTTACATGAGGCGATTTTATAGGCAACTTTTAGTTGAAAGCATAAATAGCCTGGCGGGAACGGTCTTTCAAGTAATCGCTTCCAATGAAGTTGGAGGACAGCCAACTAATCGCATGTAACCTCGCCTCGTGTAAACATCGTATTACACTCATATCAACTAATATTTGTTACGAAACCAAAACAGCGGGCCAATCTTATCAGCTTAGATTTATAATTTAATGATTCTATAATAATGTATATACATATGTATGTATATGTACTAGGAATGTTAATCCCGGGTTTTCCGAGACCTTAAAAAGTCCGGGATCCCTGGCAATTAATCCCGGGATTTTCGGGATTTTTAATTTACACTAATGGCAATAACAGGAACTCCTTTTCTTGACAAGTATTGGTTAAATTTCTTTTTTTATTTAATATTTAATATAACACCGCGCGACATTAAATTTTAAACACAAATATCAATATATTCGCGAAACCAAGGGCCAAGCATAGTAAAATTGCGTTTTTAGTTTTTCACTCTGACGTCAGTATCTAATTCAAAAATGATTTTAAAAAATCAGAGAAATGTGCTTAGAGAAGAAGTATGGGTATAAAATCAATGCGGAAATCCTGTAGAATTTAAACAAATTCAAGTTTCTGGTGCAGAAGGGCTGGTAAATATTGAAAATGTCATTTAAAATTTTATCGTTGAAATTTTGCAATATTTGTTTATGGAAAATTATATGTTAAGGGCTTATATAAACTCGTGCTTGTGAATCCAAGAAATTAAAATTTTTTAAGTTCTAAAGAAATTTCCTATTGCATTTGGTACCCATATTTTTATTCTACATTGCATTGAATTTATATATAATAATAATGTTTGGAATTAATCATATCTTTGAAATTACAAATCCTTCAAATTAAATCCTGCAGTCAGAGAGAAAAAATAAAAACGCCACTTAAAATAAAATAGTAGGTCTCAAACCCATTTACTTATTATTTATTTATTTATTTATGGTAGGAGAGATTCAAGTTGGTAAAAAGTAATTACTATCCAAATACCGGGACTAATCCCGGGATCCCGGGATTGTGACAACGCCATTCCGAAAATCTCGGGATCGGAAAAAGCCGAAAAATTAACATCCCTAATATGTACGTACACACTTATATTTGATTGAAAATCTCATATTTTATTAAAAAAAAAAGATGCAGAGTTCTATTTTAAATAGTCATAAAGTAGTTTTGCTTCGTTTAGTCTATGTAATTTAAGAAACTCTTCTAAGAGATAAGCTAGCAATTTAATTTGAGAACACAGAATGCAGATAAGATGGAATTTATTGGCTCTAGTACCAAAGCCGCAGTAACAAACAAATTTTTGGTAATAAACATGTCAACGTTGCGACCAATATTTTGGGTTCTAGCGATAAGGTCCTCTTACACTGGAAGAAGAATTATGCGTGAAATGAAATACGCCTTTGCGCGACATCCAGAATCTAGCTCCTGGAGCATAAAAACGAATGAAGTGATAAGAGGCAGCACAACGAAATGTTGGTGTAATATGAGATGCCTCAAGTACTTAATATTGACCGTAAATTTGTTGCTAGGAAGAAGAAAGTTCAATGCACTTTGAACCCGAGTTCAACAACACGAGTATACATGCATATCGCTCAAGTTCTTAAAAATTTTATAAAATATTAAGAAAGACTTTACCTAACTTCTAATTTACAATTGTATTTGAATTTAATGATAAACCGGAAATTTTGAGGTGAAACACTGTGTGTGCGGTACGTCTACAGTCTTACGCTTTGAGTAGAGGTGTCCAATTCTATTGATAGATATTTGTTTTTACAATCTAAACTAAATTTTAGACACAGCTCGACGTCCGCAATTAGCTTATTCAGTTTCATAAATTCCAAATCCCAAGCATGCATCCGCTTACCGCAAAATCCGCTTTATCCGCTCCATACGCCATGGCTTTGAGGGTTCTCACGAAAATTTTACATGAAAAATCGTGTGGACGAATTACATACAAACTGCAGATTTAAATGTCACCAATGTGTAAAAAAGTCCTTAAAGAATTCCTGTTCTTCGTTGTTCGACCGAGCAAATCGATTTGCATATGTCATACGTATGTATGTCATATGTGTGTGTGTACACGGTGCTGCTTAACTATAGTTATACAGTCGTGTCTGGATATAGTGAACTAATTTTTACATGGCCTGTTCACAGCATCCTGGTTGTTCACTATATTAAGGTTGACTTATTTTGTTCAAAAACTTTGTTTATTTGCTCAAAATTCATGTTTGTGTATGTAAGTACAACAGATCTTTGGAATAAATGTATATGTACTTAGGAAAATATAAATGGACATATGAATGTTTATTGAAAGAATTCGAGAATAGATGTTTGCTTCATGCATGAGGAAATTGACTTTTGGACCGCTTTTTCACGTAGAGTTCTCAATACTATTATGCCAGCGTAGTCAGTTTTTAATAGCTTCGGTCGTTTTTATAGGATTTCCGATCTGTCCTTCGCCTTGGTCATCATCACCAGCTTCTGCAGTATCCTCGGCATCTTTCTCTAAATCAATTGGTTCGTCGTCTTCGATTGTATTCCAATTTTAGATATCATTTTCAGTGTAGGTTTCCTAAAATAATTAAAGTACATAAAAACGAAATGGGAAGGTGAATGTCAATAGGGCCAATAAAATTACCTTCGGTATTACAACTTGCAGCGGACCCTGTATATCATCGATTTCGTTATATTTTTCCTGCAATATTTTTTGGCGAAGTAAGCTCAGAAGAACATCATCGTCTTCATCCTCGCTTTCATTTGGCTCTGTGGCATTGAAACATTCTAATAAAGGCGTCCAACATTTCGCTGTTACACTTGCCTTCAGCTGATTCCAAGCAAGCATTAAAAATGATACAGCATCTTCAAAAGTTAAAGTTTTTAAAAATTGTGTGATGTCATCTTTTCCTACAGCTAATAACAGCAGATGTTTTTTGTAGTACAGCTTAGTTAAGCGAATCACATTTTGATCCACAGGCTGAATAAAAGGCGTTAAATTTGGACGCATATAAACCACGAATATAGAGCCATCAGCAGTTTTAAGTTCATCTTCTGACGGATGGCTAGGGGCGTTATCAAGCAATAGGATAGCTATGGTTGGTAAATCCTTTTGTAGCAAATAATTTTGAACCTAATAACAATTAAAAACGAAAAAATACTCGGTAAAACTGCTAGGAATTTTAAATGTATTACTCATTAACGTGAGGGACGAAGCAATGGTGAAACCATTCTATGAAGATGTCTGCAGTTACAACATAAATTTTTACGATTTTTTCAATAATTTCAGATTTTTGCTTCAACGAAAGGAATTTCCTCGCACACATGATAACACTTAAAAATTATTTGAATGCTAAATTTATTAGCACACAAAAAATAAAAAATAAAAAACACGTAACACAGCGCACATTCACTCACAAGCGGTTGGAACTCGACAAGAACCAAATAAACATTAGCAACAAATAGTAGCAGCTTTTCTAGTAATAAACATAAAGTGATAAAAATCAGGGAATAACCGCTTTCATTTCCGGTTAAATGTGGTATTTTTTGTCAATTTATGCTTGCCGTTGCTTTTAAAATTTTGTTCACTATTTAGAGCCTTTCGATTGTTCACTATTTATTTTTGAAATTATGCGCTAAAAAGTGTTCACTATATCGAAGAGTTCACTATAGCGGGCGTTCGCTATAGAGAGACACGACTGTGTATATATGCATGCTGCCTACTTACAATAAAAAATTATTGATCTTCGCTTAAGAAATTTTTGTCCAGATGTCCCACATTTGGTGTTTTCATAATTTATGTTGTTGTTGGTACCGCATACTTAGTCACTCACCGTTGCGGGCATTTAAATATGATTGCATGTACGAGTATGTACATATTTTCTCACACTTGAAATACTAATTTGTGATTTTCAGTATATTTGGTATTGGATTCCCATCGGCGAAGCCGTAAACACGCATGTTTTGTTGTCGGTTTTATTAGTTGTTCTGGCTGCTTGAAGAATGATTTTCCGGTTGTCGACTTTTAAGGAGGATATGTATGATTTACTGCAAGTGAGCTCCTGAGTTTACTTCATGCATGCCCACCTTTTGAGAAACGCGAAGTTGAAAGTTAAAGATTCTTCAGTTGGGAAGGTGACAAATCAGTTTCACTTAAGTAAACCGAACCGGAGTTCCCCGGCAAAGTTTTTCTTCAGCTGCCGTTTTTCCAAATGTAACTCGATCGATAAAAATATTCTTTTTAATACTTCATCTTCATGCAGAAGACTGATCTGCAAAATTAATACTTAACCTTACTCGAACTCTACCAAGCGTCTGCGGACAGTCACTTTATTGTCGTAGCATCAACCGCTAATTGACTGCTGATACTAATTCCATCATTTCACACGCCTGTCAGTCAGTCGGCCAGTCAAAGCCATCATCAATAAGCCGCTAATCATGACAACTTAACATAATCATTCATGTTCGTAATTTCATTAATTACTTCTTAATCAATTGAAATTCAATTCGCTAATTAACATATCCACAATTGCAAGCCATCGATCGGAAATGATCGAATGAACGAACGAGCCATGGTTTGAAGCATAATTCGAAGAAGATGACGATTAAACGCACCGCAGGCGACTACAACACTGTGGGCGCATTAAAAATTACATTTTCTTAACCGAGACTAATAAAGATCAACACTTGTCAGGTCCGCCCCCCCCCCCCCCCCCCNCCTCTTCGCATGATCGGTGAACTTCTGAAGCTACAAATCAACAATGCTGCAAGACCACCCAATTGTGCTGCTCGGTGAGAGGTTCCTCAATGGACGTCAAATACTCCGCTCATAGACATTGGTGGATTTGTATGTAGGTATGAATGTATTTTTAATCATTCGTTTTAAACGGTTTTCTAAAAGTCGCCGGATTATCGTAAATGTTGGCGATGTTGCAAATCAAAATGTTAGGTTTTTTTTCAAATAACTCGAAGTAAGCGACGATTAGTCATGAGAGGCAGCCGCCGTAATTTACCTCCTAATGAATTGACATTTCGCACAAAGTTGCACACAATCACAATCACATATACATCGACACACACAAAGCACGACAGCAGTTAAAAGAAACAAAAAAAAAGTAAAAAATTTGCGATCCTAAATAAAATATGTATAATAATGGAGAAAAGGGGTTAAATTACGCTGATCCACAGGCGATCTCGAGATGCACAGAATAGTGCGCGCTTTGACCGCCGCAGCTTCATTCATGCCTCATAGCGGCTGCCTGCTGTGGCTGGCTGGCTGGTTGGCTGCCTCACGAGCTGACCTCACAAGTCGAGTAGAAATTCATTCATAAAATGAAATTTTGATTATGAATACGGAGCTAAAAAAAATACATGTTGTACACATACATACATACATATGTACATATAAGTATGTACTTGTTGGACATTGCATGGGCGAGTGAGCAATCCGTTAATGGAGCTGTTGTTGTGAGCAGCGGTAGTCGCCGGTTTTAGATGGTGATCGCATACGCCTGCTTGGCTTTGGATGAGACCTTAATTACGCGCTGACCCAATGAACTTGTTTTTGTAGCTCATACCGGTGCGCGTCGGAAGAGATCTACTTATTTGGACACAAATTTATTTGGTGACATTTATAATGAATTATTTAAAGACTTATTAATTACGTAGTAAAAGCTTATGAAATTGAATTAAAGTTAGGGTACTAGACCGCTTTGATAGTCAAGGAAAAATGATGATGCACTGCGCCAATATTGGGTCCACTTAAGCCGTAATTAAGAGATTAATTAGTTTTCATAGAAAGCATAAAAACACCCTTTAGCACAATTGCTAATGCCTAGCGATTTTAATCTTTTTGTTCTTAACATATCGCACACCGTCTTCAAAAGAGTCACAACTCAAAATTTGGCATTTTTGAAATTATGCGCTAAAAATGTACACAGAGCTTTTATTTACCTTTTAGCAAAAGCTGGAGAAAATTTGTGTTATAATTTGTTAAAAAAAAACCTAAGGTAAAGGCGCCCTTGTCCATATGACGAACGTATTATCTTGAGTTGTGACTCTTTTGAAGACGGTGTGCGATATCTAAGCTTGGCTTTCATCAGCATCGCGTTGATCGCTTTGTCTCACAATCACGTGAGCGCTGCGCTATTTTGGCGTCACATTAGGTCCATTCAATATCAAAAAATTGTTACGAATTGTTACTAGTACTTGCAAGTTTTTTACTGGAAATGCATTCAATAACACAAAATATTTGCAAGAGAGAGCGAATTCGAGAGCGTTAAGCTCAGAACACTTTGACGACAGCAAGCGACAAGCAGCATCTGTCAAATTTTAAATACACACGTTCTTACGGACACAATTATTTTGACGACAGCACGACATCTTGGCTGCAGGACTGCAATTGTCGACGTCGCCAAATTAAATCTATTTCTAATTTTGCCGGCGACAATGAGTAGATGTAGTGCTGCAAAATTAAATTGTCGCAAAATTAATCACATATTCTTGATTGTTCATGTTTTTCTTATTTACTTAAATAAAAATACACAATTTGTGAAATAAATATACCAAAATGTCAAACTTTAAAATCGGCTGTTTGCTATGTCGCTGAGGTCTTCAAAATGTTTAAGAAGCTGGCTTCAAGGCGACATTTGTCGACAAAATGATGTCGCTGTCGTTACGTCGTGAAGTTGCAGTCGTCAAAGTGTTCCGAGCTTGACAACCCGAGAGAGCTGCAAATTCGCGTAAGTAAAAGCTTTACTAGCAGGAATATGCAGGAGTCAAAAAGTAAGGTTATGTTTCAAATTCAAATGTAAACAAACTGTCTAAGAGGATGATTTGATGGAACATAATTAGTGAAATGAAAATATGGATGAAAAATTTTAATCTATTGTATATTTATTTTTATTTTGACGATGGGAACCATTCCCAAATAAAAAGAAAATTGCGCGCCAAAACTTAACCGTCTGAAACTGTCAAAATGGCTTAAATTGCAAGCTTTTACCAGTTTTGCGTTCAATAATTTTTTCCGAAAATTTTCTCTTGCTCTCATTTTACTGTCTATTTTTCTTTTACGCTCTCGCTGCAAGTACTTACTGGAAAAGTTATCGAATGGACCTATTGATAGGCAGCGATATGTATGTATGTATGCGTGTATGTAATAAATTTGTGAAAGTCATCTAATAACTTTGCGAGCAATAATTTCGCTTGCCCGCTTCTATCCCAATGTACAGTTAAGGAAATAATTTGACGACTTAAGCAAACCCTTAGTGGAGAGAAAAGTCCAGGTGAAATATTATACTGAGCGCTTCCTTTAAGCATTTGCAGTTGTGAGGTCAAAAGGTTAAATCGCACTGCCAGTTAGTTAAGGAACAGCGGACAATAAAAATCCCCGCCAGAAGAACCAGTAACACTAATAAATAATTGAGTAGCGAACTGAAATCACAATATTGCCTTGCTAGTTGTAAGCTGTAAAAAAATGGCCAAATGAATTCCAAAGCTCGTTCTTTCCTTTGCCACCTCGTCATGCGCGTACGTACACTGGATGGACACAAGGGTCACTTGCGCTCAAATGTTGCTGTGCGATTGTGTGAGTGCGCTTGAGTTGCTCACTGCATTTTAGGGTAGAAAATTGCGTTTTAGTACTACCGCCGCGAAACTGTTTCCTATTGGCCCAGGTCAGAGGTCAAGGTGTCCGAAAACTTCTCAGGCTACGTTGCAATGTGAAAAACTGGGTTTCCTGTTAAAAAACCGGATATTTAAAATTTTACGTTTGGAATTTTCGGTAAGAAATTTTAATTTAACCTTTAACCTCTGCTTGAATTTCGTTTTTGTTTTGGACGTGGATTCTCATTGGAGTTGTTGTAGTTAAAAATCAAAGCAATCACTAAGAAGGCATTTGAATTTGAATTATCTAGTCTTGTACGTACATATACATATGTATGTACATACACATATCGTCTTTTAAAGTACAAAACCGCGTATCTTCATTCTGCAAAACCGAGTAACTGGCACACAAGCTCTTGGCTCAATCCTTATCCATTCGTCCTGAAATATACTGGCCAGGTATGCGATTGCTTTACAAAAAAAGAGAACCATTTTGAAATATGAGTGTTTTTACTCTCTAGAAGATAATTTACATAATTCATATACGCGGTTTTGCATTTTGTTGATACGCGGTTTTGTACATTAAACGACGATATGTATGTATGTATGTACATATGCATGTATGAGAAATGGAAAATGGCGTCGCGAAAATGTGTGTACATATGTTTGTAAGTCAAGCCTTATAACTTCTTGAGTTTCATGCTCCACACCATCTCAGCTTGAACAATACAATATTTATAAAATCTCCTTTCGTTGGCCAATTAACCGGCACAGCTGTTTTTTATGACTAACCAAAATAATTTTTAATTACCCTTTACCGGCGTTGCCACACTAAACCAAACCCATTTGTCGCAAGTGGGCCAGCTTCTTTGACTTTTGCGGTCGGCAATACAAATCTATTCCTTTGAGGAAATAATTTTGCAGCCTCCTCAATGGGTTACGACGAGTTTGTCGCGAAAGGGGTGTGCTGGTAACTGTAACACTTTCATGCCTATCATTTGATGCTCTGTTGTTGTTCTTGTAGCGTGTTGAATATCTCGTGCACATTTCAGCGTTGACAGTTTGCGCTCGGAGGTAGGACAGTCGGCTCAGATTACCATCAGCTAAGCGGGAAGACTCGCATCTGTACATATACATACATACAAATGTACATACATAGTTAGATTTAGATCTTATGGCATTGCAATGTCAAAAAGTTGCTGCTAATAATGTAATCAAAATCAAATATCATTTCACAAAAAAAATCTTGAAAAAATCAAATATATGTATGGTACATATGCAAGTATATGTATGTACGTGTGTGCATAAGGATGCGATACATTGTTACTTATTTTTGTTTGAAAAGGATGCTGCAAGGGCTTGTGGTTGGAGAATGCTACCAACAGCAGAGTCACGTGCCATTGATCACTGATACCGTTGAGTTTTTGAGAGCGAACCACCAAGTACGGAAAGCTAATTTAAATACAGAAGTAGCTATGTATGTAATTATTGGGTTAACATTTGGTTAATGGGCGCAGATATTTATCAATTAGCTCTCAAAAAAATATCAAATAACGGGAAAATTAATATTCGCGATTGAAATTACGAAATGATATTTTGTCTACATTGTTCGTTTTGTTGAATATGGAAATCAGAGTGTTTATTTTAATGTATGTATGTATATATACATACATACATATATACTATCTCAAGCGACCACAAAAACACTAGTAGATACTTACGGGTGTTCAGACAAAAAGCATCAATCAGATTTCACAAAATGCAAACTGATTAAGGAGGAAAAAATGGCACACTCTAAAAATTGCATGTACAACTTTTTCAACCAGAATCTGTGTAAATATGTATGTATACGCAAAAGATGCTCAAGATATCCTTCTGAGCCTGAGATGTTTAAAATATACACATGAAATGTTTAAAATTGCAACGATTTTGAAAGTAAAAATACATTTCCAACTAATTGTAAACATTAAGTGCTCATATTTACTCCATTTTAAATACTTAAAGTGCAATTTTGCTTTATGCGACAAATTTGGTATGCATGTAAAAGTAAACAGGTACGCATTTCAACATATCTGTGGACTTTAGACAAAACAACCTCTGTGGTTTCTGAAGGTTGGAATTAAGAGTAAATTAAATTAAAAAATTTGACATTTTTTTTTAACTTCCATTAGGTTATCATCTTGAACCACTCCTGTTAATAACTAAACACAAAAATGTCATTCGATATTTCAATAAATTATTAAAATGGCCTCATTCAAGGGAAGTGGTTTTGTATGTATGTAAGAAAGGTAGCAGCCAATGAACAGATTTCAACCAAATTAGGACAGCATATACCTCAGATCCTTGGTATAGGCTACATTTTAATTCGCTATGTGGCGCTTGAGTAACTATATTCACAAAATCCGTATTTACCGTCCGATTTTGATGGAATGGACTGTGAATTCTCAAGTCTACACTGAAAATTGTGTACATTCTTCATTTTGCGATTCAGGAAGTGTGAGAATTAGTCTTAACTGTCAAAATTGTGTACACTTCTCTTCCGAAAAACTCACAGCATTTTATTCGGTGAGTTTTTGGTCGTGAGTTTTGCACTCAGTGTACACTACAGAATCCAGTCTCAGGTGTGATGAAAAGTACCTTCTCAAAAAATGGTTTCTCTAGATGGTGCTAGAGTCGAGTTATTAAGAAAATCAGTTCTTATGGTCCCATTTTGATGATTTTAGAAAGGCAAGAGAAAAACACCTGCCAAAAATAAATCCATTAGATGACTCTGAAGTCCAGATGTGAGCAGAAAATTTATATTTAAGGTTAGATTAGAGCTATTTTGGACAGATATCACATTGGAAATTATTTCAAAAGCAGCTACTAACTTCAGAGTCTACTTCAACTTAACTATGACTTCGGGACGGTGTGGTTGTTCATGATTGCCTTTTTATCAGGTTATCTGCTTAAAAATAATTTTTCTTTAGTGTATTCTATTTTTGTACAACAACGAAATATACTACAGAAAATTTATTTTTAACCATATAACCCGATAACCAGGCAAGCGTGAAGAACCAAAGAGCTTTACAATTTATAAAAGCTGAATTTGTAGCTTAAAAATCTACTGCAAGTACATATAGGGAAATGTAGTATGCTACGCAGACGGAGTGGCGAGTATCAGCTGGTAATTACATCACATTTTTTAAAGTTAAAAGTTAGCCTTCGATCTTTCCTTGATCCAAAGAGTACAACGGAAGGAATTTAAACCAGCGATGGGCAGAGAGAGCTCTCGCCTATACAAAATGTATAGAAAGCTTAAAAGACCTTTGCCCGCAGGCAAGGTGGTACATATGTATGTATATGTATGCTGGCTGTTTCATTGCAGTTGGGCTATGAAATACCTTTTATGCTCAAATGAAAAGTTTATATACAGAATTTATTCATCAATTTCTTAATTCCTGCATTAATTTCGCCCTTCATTGATACAAATTGCATACATATATACAATATTACCTTCACTTTAAAATATTGTTTTGTTTTACAGTATCGACTTTGATTTTGTGGCGTGTGGCACTTTCCTTACTGGCGTACATACATACGTTTTTGTACCAAAACCACAAATGTCCACTGCTTTGCCACACGTCTGTATGGTGCTGCTGGCATTTGTCCAAAATACCTTAAGGAAACCCCACGAGTCACACCTGCTTCTTCGAAGCACACTTCTTTAGCTCTGGCTACGCTAGCCTTGACTTTTCCTTTTCATCAACGCCCATTGGTTTCACAAGCGTAAATATCAGGCGACTGGCAAAGTGTGAGTAGTGTGTATCAATATCCTGACCACCACTTCCTTAAGCGGATGTTTCTAACCGATATGCAAAAGGTGTTCGAGGGCAGTTTATGACTAACTTACATACATTGTCGGCTGCTACTGGTCACATCACAGCGCTTGGCCAGCGCCGGGACAATGCTTGAATGGCCGGCCATCAGCACCACCTACCAACTGTGTAATGCGTTAATTGTATTATTTTTGTTGTTTTCATTGGTTTATTTTGTGTATTCATGTAGACTTCACAAACATTACTATGAATGTATGTATGTATGTATGTATGTAGATTGTTTGCTTGTTTCGCCGCCTAAATACAAATAATTTCAAGAACAAAGTGATTTGTGTGCTGCCGAAAGAAGGACATAATAATATCCTTGCTATTCTCATGAGCTTGCACTACATACATTCAATGAGATAGTGATAGTTTTGCTATGCCGGCAACTCGTATTGACCATATTTATGAACATTTTAACCTTTTGTGTCTTGTAGACATTGTTTGTTGCAGCATGTTGTTGTTGGCCAACAGTTCCAGTGCTGCTTCTGGCGGTCATGTCGTGCGCCTGTGGGTGTGTTAAAGGGCGTATATCCTTTTTCCTTTTCGGCCAGACGTAGCCGCTTGTTGTCCGCTCAGCTTGCCACCTAATGGATATGACCGCTTCAGTTTCTTATTCTTTATTTTTACTTAGCTACTATCTGCACTTCGTTGGTCATTTGAAACTATTTCGTTGCGTTCCTTTAGGGTATTGGAATTGAGGTGTCAATCTGGTAGCCGTCCACTTTTCGGTGTAATTTTGTAAATTTATTAACGCAATTGTCGCTTGTTCTTCGCTTTTGTTGGCGGCAATTGTTTTTGTGTGAGCGTTTTTGTTTTTGTTGCACTATCTGTGTTAGTTTGGTTAGCATCTGAACTTCCAACTTCCGAAAACAATTTCATGCTCATTTTGTGGCTGTTAAATGGCTCAAATTGCATTGTGGGCGATCACAATGGCTTCTGGATGCAGAATGGTCTCTATTATGGTGTGATAGATGGCCATTGGCGGCACGGAATATGTTCTCTTTTATGTCTAATATCTTGATTAGTAATAGATATTCCTTTTTTATTAAATAGCAGATGTGGGAGGCTAATGGGCACAGACCAAAGGTGTGAAATCGATTATGCCGATACGCTGCGAATAGCAAATAATGGGCACCGAAAATCGAAGAAAAATTTAAAATTTTTTATTTATATTTTTTGTTAAAATAATTCGAAGATCATTCCATTTTTAACTAAGCCTTTATTTAAAATATATATGGTCATATGTGATTTTCGTGAGGCAAAAAAACAAAGTGTCGGGGAAAGTTTTCAGTTAAAAAAAATAATAAATAACCAAAAATTGGTAAAAAAAATATATATTACGAGAAAGAGCAGAGTGTAGCCCAGCATATGAAGTTCTAATTAAACTTGAACCAACATCCTTGCTGTGGTTAGAGCGAGGTTGTTTTCAGTGTGACCGCGGGCGTGTGAAAAATTTTAGCAGAGAAGAGACTTAAAATGTACCAATATGTATCACTTTTTTTTTATTTTAAGTATCAAAGTACCAATACGAATTAAAACCAATAATTTTTATGACAAGCCGTTTTTCAAAACAATTTAACATTTCTTCATTGCAAAAATGGTACACGTATCAGTTGTGCTTGGTACTAGTATAATAATAGTAACGAAATTGTCTTAGATGTATCAGTTCAACTGGGTATAAGTATAAAAAAACAGCAAAAATGTCTTACACATAATCTTACTTTTAGTTCAAATACTTTTTGTACTTATAGGACTAAGAATTCAAATATTTTAATAATTTTTAAGACATTTCGAAAACATTATGCATTCCACCCTTAGGAAAGTGGAGCGATTTGTTTTGGTCAAATTCAGATCTGAGAAAATACGCTCTGCAGCGGCAGAGCTGTGCGGCAAACATAACAAGTTAAACATAAAAGCAGTTAGTTCGAAATATAAAGAGTTATTTAAAGCATTTTTTAGCTTGCTTACTCCCCCAAAAAACTGTTATATGTCTTCAATGCAATCTATATTAATATCGAGTTTAAAAAGTTGCCATTGTTTACAAATTTTCTCTTTGTCGCTTTCTTTGTACAAATTAGGAAAAATTTTTTAAAACTGTTAAAAGTGTCGAATTAGCGCTTTCTTTATGTAACAATCTTTGGTCACATGCTAGGCTTTTCAAAATTGCTCTGTTAAAATCAAATCTCTTTTCTATGTACATAGTTCAATATAACATTGCTCAATATTTTTTTTTTAATTAGGACTTTACTTAAAAGTGCTGTTGATATCTTCGTCTCTGCGGCACAAGTAATATATACTTCCTTAATAGTTAACTGATTATCTGGGTTGCAAGCCAGCTGGGTCACTTGAATACAGTTTGGTTTGAAAAAAAAAGACAATATAAGTTTATAGTTACTTTCAACATTGTTATATATCTTATGCAGTCTGTATAATTCACTTTGAAATTCTATGTTGATTCGATTGACAATATCCAAAGTATTTGACAAAAATAAAAAAAATAATTTTTATTGGTGAGGAATCAATTTTTTCGGCAATAGCTCGCGCTTGGTTCACACCGTCATCGAACTAAGTTATGAAAAATAATTGCAATGAGCTCCACTGGGACAGCAAGTTTTATGATTTTTATCACCAACGTAGTTTTGAAACTTGGCAAATTCGTCCACCCTTTTAGCACTATGTGCGATTTCTGACCAGTTTTTCGACTTCTACGGGAATTTTTTTACAGATGCGAAATGTATCAGAATTAAAAAAAAAACTATCCCTCCAAAATTCATCGAAAAACGTATCACTTTTGATCCACTTGTATCAAAACGGTCACACTGGTTGTTTTATGTATAAAGTCATATACAAATTTTCCGTGCATTTTTAGTAAATTTTTGAAAATCTTTCGTTATAGAAAATCAAGTACTTACGGGTACAATACATCTGTGACCTCTAGGCATTTTTCCGGTAGCTCTATGAGGGCAGAACTTCTATGGTATACCGGTGAAAAATTTGGGTTGGTGATTTTGAGCGGCTCTCCTGTCGGTAAATTTTTACCACCAAGAAAAGTTCAATGGTTTTTCCAAGCAAGTTATTGGTTGATTTTTTCATGGTAAATACACCGATTGTAAGAAATGTGATTAAAGTTGAACATTTGACAGCACATTTGTATGTCTGGTTGTAGCTTAACTTGTAGAGAAGCTTGCTGTTATTTGTTAGCTTCCAGCAGGTCCGGGTTCGAACACCACCGAACGCAGCATATCGTCGTTTAAAGTGCAAAACCGCGTATGTGAAGTTGTAGAAATTATTTTCTGGAGCGTAAAAACACTCATATTTCAAAATGGTTCTCTTAAGGATTGAGCCAAGAGCTTGTGTGAGCAAATCCAATTTTTGGCAGCCAATGTCAGTTACGCGGTTTTGCAGAATGACGAGATGCGCGGTTTTGTACTTTAAACGACGATATAATTTTTTTTTTTTGGGTATTCTTAATTACGGAAAAACATGTGTGAAGTACAGAACACAATCAAATGACGAAAAAAACTTAACGGCAAATTTACAGAACGGCCGTAGCTGAGTGTGCAAAGATGGTAGGAAGTTGCAGGCTCAAATCCCGTCAGAGAAAACGTGATAGGTGCCCTGGCACAATTTTTTTGCTATTGTCCAATTCTGATTGCTCTTTCCTACCTGTTTCGTTCAAGCGATCGAGTTGTGCTCAACCGGGGACCGAATTGAACGTTTCCTCATAAAATTTAGGCAAAAATAGAATTAAATACGGTTTTAAATAAAAATTTGGGTCTTATAGCCATTTTCACAGTGATTATTATTATTTTTTTTTTTGAATTTAATATGCACAGAGAAAAAAGCACCTAATAAAATGGAACAAAACTCTACGGTTTTTTGTTAAGAAGCTTAGCTTATATCAAAATGTTAGCTTGCGAATGACTCACTGGCGCCGAGCCATTGAAGAACTTTTGGCAAATAAACGTGTAAGAAATAGTTCCGATAACAGCAAGTCAATATTCTTATTAAGTCTTGTCAAAAAATTCCTTTTTTGTTTAAAGGATTAATGGAATGCCGCATTATACTAAAGCCAACTTCTCGACATAAGCTAGATACTATTCCATACGAACACAGATTTGTATTCAATTTAAAGAAATTATGTATGTACATATGATGTGTGATAAATGATGAGAGAAAAAGTTGTATATACTACAAGTAAAAAAAAAACTAATTTAATTCGCTAAACTAGTTTCTCGCATGAAAAAACCGTTTCTGAACGAAAAAGCTGCTAATAATTTAATAACCGAAAGTTCAGTCAAAAACTGCACTAATCCCATCAACCTTTGGTTACTGATGTCAGACAGAATGCCAGCACATCACCCCTTTCACTCCTTTCCTTCATCACTGGTCAAATGTCAATGCAAGCGAATTGTAATGTTTAAAAACATGTTGCCTCATCCACTTTATGCAACAACAATATTTACTCTTTCCAAAAACAGTAAACAGTAAAATACCATACAATAAAAACCAAAAAAAAAAAACGTTATGTACAGCATCCGCAGTCCTCAACCCTCGATGCAAAGGTACAATCATCGCAGTTGATTTGCCAGTTTGTCAAATAATTAAGTAACATTTCTGCCAAGTGAGTGAGGAACAAAGATTTTTGATTGAAATGAAACTGAAACAAATAAATAATACAAAAAAAAAAAAAATGTCAATCAAAATTTATCGCGACTTAAGTTGACGGAGGCTGCGAAGATTGGGAAACCTACTGGCCTTAAAGCATATTCGCGCGATTATACATATGTATGTGCATATGTATGTATGTATGTATATGGCACATATGTACATAATGTAATGTGCATTAATAGAAAGATCATATTGAAAAATATCGTAGACAATAAAAATAAATTAAATGGTTCAATAAATCCTGCAAAGGATACGAGGGAGAGGTAGGAGAAAACCTCAGTCGTTAACTTTTCATAAGTTTACATGTACTTCATACATATTTATATACATACATTCATGCATAAATACATTTTTATATACATATATGTTATGGGATTAGGATTCGCTATAGCATACAGTTATAACTGTACGGTAATACTGATGTCATACATAGTATATACACACTTACCTACACACATATATATTTACTGTATATGTATGAATTCCTTCATTTCTTTGTTATATACCAAAGCTGCATATATATGTACATACGTACGTATGTATATACATAATCCATATATGCCCAGTAGCGAAAATGGTCACCGGTGACATCGTCACTAATGAGGATTTAGTGACATCGACGCACTTGCTATGAATTCTAAGCGACATACAGCTGACTATGACACTGGCGACAATGTCATGCAGGTGTACTCCTATCAAAGACTTATAACACGACAATGTCTTGCAGCGGTCACTTATAAAAAGTTCATTGTAAGATACTGTCGCTTGAATGTCATTAATGATCACTGCATGACCAAGTCATCAACCAGGACATCAACGACGAAATTACCATTTATATGAACGACTTCCATACAAACGGAGCCCAGAGTCATTTAAGACGTAACTTTTCCGTACAAGACTCTTTAAGTGACTAATGCATGACAATCGCTACGGGGTGTGTACAAGGAATAACACGACTCCATACATACTTAAGTGCATACAAATTCAGATTAAACTTCCGTATTTCTTTGGGCTTCGCACATATGTATATATGTATGTATGTATGTATGTATGTATGTATGTATGTCTGTGACAATCACAAATTTTTAATTAATTTTATGCCCCTAAAAATCTAAATTTCTTTGTTCCAACCAAAAAAAGGGGACCCAAAATAGTTTTTTTTGTAAATTTCGGCTAGTTTATCTAATTTCTAATTTCAATTGTCAAAATTCATTTGGCCAATACGCGCGGTACTGGTATGCATAGAAATTTATACACAGCCAAGGATATGCAAATTGGCGGGGAAAAAACTCAAGAAAAACAGCTCGAAAACAAGAAAAAAAAAGTATCTCGGGGTCATCAAAGGTCAATACCGGACATTTTTTCACAACACAACGCTTGCGCACAGCAAAAAAAAAAAGGGTGTCATTCATGCCTTTTATATTTAGTCCAGAAAGCCGCCAAGAAGACGAACGAACTGTCCAGGTGCGATCGTCGGCTTTGTGTGGTTTTTCAAGATTAATCCATGTGATTCATAAGAAAATCTGAAATCATCAAAATGAAATCGCAAAATGATTATTATGATACGTAACTGACTGCTGGAGGAATATGTACGTATGTTTGTAAGTATTCCTATCTATGTATGTATATGTATGTCCTTCTGTATGGCTCAAGCGTGTGTACGTGTGATTATGTATTTGAGGATGCAGATATGAATATGCGCGAGTGAATACATTCATCCCTGTGTGCACAACCAGCCGCATTATTAGCAGCAGCAGCAGCAGATGTCCGCTTTTTCCTAATCAATTTTAGTGCAAAGTCGCATTTCATCGTCATTTGTTGCATGCAACATATCAAAGTGGCAGGCGTGCAAACAACTTGCATCATCAAAACTGATGCAATTAACAGTGAGCTCTTGAGATATCTGTTTATTTTCACCAAGTGTCCAATGTCGCAGTACATGCGGGTGTGTGTGTGTGTGTGATGTCCTGGCGCTGTTCTATTTTGTGCCACTTTTTATGACGCGTATCAAAACGTTGCAACAAAGGCGATGGCAGACTGGCAGCCTGTCATAATTTCTTCATTACCACAGGCTGTTAAATGCAATCCGATTGCCATTTGCTTGTGCGGGGAGTGGTGCGAATTGGCGCAGCATCGCCGAGCAATCGCTCAGTTGCGATGTGCGGGTCAGCAGCGGTTTTATTAAGGTGTTATGTACATAAAAATAATCGTCATCTTTGATTCCTTTGATTTTATGTTTGTAACGGTCACTCATCGCTTCTGGACAGGATTGACCGAACTTAACGCACGGTTATGCTACATTAGCGCGATTCTCCTATCTAAAGATACGTCGGAGATTTGTAGACGTTTAAAGGATCATGTCGAAATGCACAACCAAAAAAAGTTAAGAATCAAGCGAAAATGTTGCACACATAGTAGATACGAACATACATATGTTTGCATGTGTGTCTAAACACATGTATGTATGTTTGTATTGAATGAACTTTGGTTGTTTCAAATACCGAAGGAATACTCAAACATCCCTGAAGTACGGGGGAGCAACTACAGGACTGCTGAATCGGTAGCTACCTAATAAACACCGTCAATTACCGACCGACTACTTGTAGTGTATTTCATCGATTACTTTTACAAGGCAATGTCCTTCCTAGGCGGTAGTCACCATCGGCTCTCTCTGCACTACTGGGAGTTACTAAAGTAGTCACTTGCGTGATTTGTGGGCGCCCTCTGTCGTAGTTTTTCGCCCTCTGGTTCGACTCTGCACTACCCTGTGCACTACCACGGGTTAATAGAGTAGCTACTTACCTAGGAGTCGGTGCAGGAGCGGTTCAAAAGTAGCGATTGACTCCAGCAGTACTGGAGGGATATTACAAAGTTTGCCGTACATTTTTTTATATCAGGATAGGTATTCTTTCGGAATCCGCAATAAAATTTTAATTTTTGAAAAAACCCGATGTTTAGCACCTTACTAAATATGTATATCTCAACATAAGTTTTCGAAAACGAATTACAAAAAATTGTTGGTCCCCATGTAGCGACTAGCTGAGTTACCACATATATTTATTTCTCTTTAGTTAATAATCTTAACACTTGAATGTAAAAATTAAAACTAATTGAATTGCTTAACCGAAATCTTTTCGTCTGCTCGCTGTTGTTATCTCGAAGGTTCTGCTTCTAGCTGGGGAAGAATATTCATTTTTTTTTAAGTTGCAACGGCTAGGACTTTTTCTACGAATGACAATGTGAAACGGAATGAAGAATAGTGCCACACCAAAGTTGTGTTGCCAGATGGTTTGGCAAGTTGTGTCCCCACACTCACATAATAAATCATCTCGTCATAAACAAAAATATTTTAAAAATAGTTCTTGAAAAATCCCCATTTTTTTAACCACGTTAGGTATAGAGAATTGAACAGGGATTACGATGGTGTAATTTTAAATCCCTAATTTACTGGTCTTCACTATGCAAATCATCTTCAAAAAGTTCAACTGTTACTAGCTAAGTTAGCTTTGGGACAATCTTGAAAACGTCGTTAAATGAAGTCCCTACGATTCGCAGAACCCGAGATATAACGATTTGAAGTAGTAAATGATTAGTCAGAATCACAAAAAATGCCAACTTTGACAGATCACATCACCGAAGAAAAAAAGCTTAGCTTATTTCACGTATAGAACGCATAAAAAGTTGTTAAGCCAATCGAAAATGTGGTACCGAATTTGGTGTCTGATATGAAGAAGAAGGTATCTTATACGTTTCTTGCCTAACAGCAAATTTTACCCCAAAAAAGGTAATATTGACCTTTAAAAAAATCCTCTTTTCCTTATTACAGCTAAGTTATTTTTTTACTGAGAAATTTCCTTTCTTTCAACCAAGACAAGCAGTTGCCAGTTTCAATCACGCAGCAAGAATAACAACGAAAAGACAGAAAAGCATTAATCAGAAGTGATGGGGATAATATTCTTCTACAGGAGCGTAGCAACCCAGGTGTTGGGAGACACTTTGCCTCTGCTCCCCCGCGCGTTTTTCTTATATGAAATTACATATACATATATGAAATCGATAGATACTAGAAAAGGAAGGAAAGCAATTAAAGGGCAATCGAAAACGAAAGCAATAAATAATATATTTTTTTTTTAATAATTGCATTTTGCGATTTTTAGTGAATTGAATCTTATAAGAACCGTGCTCAGGTCTAAAAAATGAAGACGTCCGAAACGAAAGTTTCGATTGCTGCAAAAAGTTTGTTAGTGCACGTTTTTCATTACTTTGCGCACCTTACACAGCTCTGTCCGATGTAGGGCGTTCTTGAAAAATTTTCTGAGATAGGGCTTTTTTGAACTGGCTGCCGAATAGGTCGATCTTCGACTCAGCTATCGATATATTCTGGGACGAATGGGATTAATAATTAAAACGCTTGCCTAGTACTCGAATTTATGGGTTCTCGTTTCTTCCAGAAAATGTTGCCCTTCCCCGATGCAAAATATGTTTGATGTAACACTCAACGCTGCAAAAGGGCATGTTTTTGCCTTCTTGTCCTTGTCAAGCTCACGCATTTCATAATATTGTCGTTTTAAACAACCACCCGATTTTCAGGGCAACCAAGAATGTGCCTTTTTTGCCTTACAATAGTGTGACATTTTAAGAAACGAACACACAATTTTCCCACCCTTTGCCTTTAATTTAGAATCGAACACGAAATGAAAAAGGGGCAATCAAAATGCAACATTTTTAGTAGAAACGAAATCACCATTAGCTTATCTCGTAAAATTACGTATAGTTAATTGTAATTATTTGTAT